TTGACGACGTTGTTTACAAAGGTTTGGGAACTAGAAAGTGTATCAACGTCATGGAATGAGTCGATAGTTTTCCCTATCTTTAAAAAGGGTTCACGTCGTTCCTGCAACAACAATCGGGGGATAAGTCTACTGTGATGGTCTGTGTATCTGACTCCATTTAGATTATACGAATGTTTGCTATCGCTTATTCTCGTATATCATCGTCGACTTAAATCGCGTTATCCAATAACGGAATTGAATAAGTCGAATAACGAGAATTGATTTGTGAATACATATATTTTGTACATGAAGCGAATGAAGCACAGCAAAGCAAAAATGACACGTATGGAAGATGGCTGGGAAGCCAACTCCCTTTTAATTAAGTGTTACTCAGTATTTATAGGCAGACAAAATAAACTACAGACATGTGATGAATCATGGGACATGAAGTGTACACACATATACGCTCATGTGAAAACAGTCAAGGCTAATAAGCGAATAATTGACAAGGTCAAAATATGGCTCAAGTAAAATGAATAAAATAGGATGTCCGGAAGTTAGAATAAAGGTTTATGGGCTTGCCATAATAACTGACACTACACATACTTCCAATTGCGTCCTAGCTATTGGCTTCCGTCATACTTCGTAGGTTATTCAAAACTCGAAAAGATTGACTCGCGAGGAGCAGGCTGGGTTTCGTTCTGGTCGAGGATGTATTGATCATATCTTCACCCTCCGCCAAATGTTAGAACATCGCCATACTTATCAAAGGCCAACAATCGTAGTGTTTCTTGACATCAGGGCTGCCTTCGATTCGTTGGACAGGACTGTTCCCTGGGATTGTCTATTGAAGAAGGGTGTGCCTGAGAAGTTTATTAACATCCTAAAAGCCCTATATAAAAACACCTCAGGCAGAGTGAGGGCATACAACCACCTCTCTCCATTGTTCCATTCGAGTAGTGGGGTTAGGCAGGGTTGCCCAATCCCACCATTCCTCTTCAACTTTGCCATCGATGACATTCTGGAAACAGCTCTGGTGGATGTAAGTAATGGTGGTGTGGATCTGTTGCCTGGAGAAAGACTTCTCGACCTTGAGTATGCAGATGATATTGTCTTACTGTGCGATAATGCCCAAGCCATGCAATCCGCACTTAATCAGTTAGCAATCAGCGTCCATAGGTACGTTATGTGTTTTGCACCTTCGAAGTGCAAAGTACTTCTACAAGACTGGCAGGATTCCAATCCTGTGCTCACCCTGGATGGTGAGCAGATAGAAGTAGTCGAGAAGTTCGTGTATCTAGGTAGCTCCATAAGTGCTGGTGGGGGTGTAAGTGATGAGATCAATGCATGTATAGTGAAAGCTAGAACGGCTTATGCCAATCTGGGCCACCTTTCCGTTCCCTCATTACTACCATACTACCTTAGACCAATCTCTTCGTTATTGTTTCTTAGCTTTTTTTTCTATGTCTCTTCGAATTCTCATTGTTTTGTGTGGCGCATATATATTGGCGCTCTCTTGTACCAATATTCATGTGTTCAAACAAACAACTATGCGATGGAAGCAAATTTTTCGCTGATGTTGAATTTGATGAATTAAGCAAATCAAAAATGTGAGGCAACTCGAATATGACGAAATTGTTTAATGTGAATCGGGCTAACGAAGAAAGATTATAAATGACTGTTGATCTCTCACGCAGCTGCTTAGTCTCTAGACCACGAACCGGATCTAATAGTGTATAAGTCTAATTTCAACCAATCAGTGATACTTCGCAATCACCTTCCTCTCTCGAGTTTTGCTTTCCTCATTAACCTATTTAGAGAACGTGTTATCAACAGAAACCAATTTATTACCGTTGTGTGTATGACACATTGAAAATGTGTCTTCTGACACCATCGTAAAGATACTCACAATACCAACTATATTTCAATTTCCAAGGTAAAATCATAAGAAGAAATGTGTAGATATTGTTATGATTAAACCATACTAATAAAACTTTCATGAAGCTGTTTCTAAACTAATTCTTTACTAGAAGTATACATTAGGGGTCGGTTACTTTATATTCGGTTAATTACAAACCACACTTCAGTTATATTTCTCACTTTTTTTATTGTATCCACGTACACAAAACAATAGCTTATTTGAAGAATTCCTATGGTACGTCAGTGAGTTGAGCAAGAAGTAAGAACAAATATGAATAGAACTATCCAGAACGGAAATCTTTTAGTTCATAGGTCTTTGCTTTAATTTTCTTTGTCTCGTTATAGATTTTAATATGAACGTTCCTATGTGACTGGAAAAGCAGTACTTGTTTGATCCGTTCTAAACTTGATATTTCGATTTTCTTATCATGAATTTTCTGGATTTGAAAACATCACAGCTTAGTATGAACAGTCAGTTGAATGGTCAATTACATTACATTAAATGGTGCAAAAGCCCGAAAACACAACATCATGAATACTGGAGCTATTTTACTAAACGTTGTTCTTTGCAAAGACTAGACGTACTGTACAATCTGTGAATACCGTACAACAAAACACGTTATCAATGACCGTCACTTAATAATTAACACAAAAGTGTTGTGAAGAGTGAAACTGAACAATTTAGTGATTGTATTCTTTAATTTAGTCTTTCTGATACAGTTATTGAGTGACATTTCAGAATCCTCATAATTTCACAGCTATATGATCATCTTGGAATCTATGTCTATCGTGTGCTACCAAGTTACTTATCAACGACAGCTATATGAATTCAATATTTATGATCATTATAGTGTGTACACAATCTACGGTTCTTTTCTTTAAAATAATATCATTTCTAATTCTGAGTTTGGCATAGATTTTATCCTTCACATCTACAAAATGACTGAATTTAGTTAAAAAACTGTTGTCGTTTCATGTAAAAGTGAACAACTCATCTATCCAATTATGGAATTTATCAGCAAAATATTGTAGGATGTTGATTGATTGGTATGAAAGTAGGTTGACAACTAAAATGCATGAACTACTAGTATTTATACTGTAGTAGTTTTGAGGGCGAGCAGTGTTGAACAGTACTATACAATGATGAAACACTTTTCCACTCAGTCCAGATTTTTAATATTTGTCTAACTAATTCAGTTCATGATGTAAATTACTAGATAATAATTACGTAACACTTAATCTTTTCAAATAAATTGAGCATTAAGTAGATTGTTTGTAATAACAAATAGAATACTATTAATGATAATTAACAACTGATTTCAATTCACATGAATTTTTATTGTCTTACAATTAAACCGATTGAGTTGGCAATGAACACTTAAATTAGTGAACACATCTATACCTTAATAAATAATAATAATAAATGTTTATTCTGCATGCTTGTTACTGTGGCACCACAAAAAGATGACGTTCAGTGTAATTTAAATGTAAAATAATATTTATTTTGAATGGGATTTATATAATTGTTGTTAGATGGGTCAGATGTATTAATAGGATTAGTCTCATTAAAAATGAATAAATAAATTCTTTATTCATGATCCTTAAAATGAATGTTGTACATGATGGAGTATAGATAGTGTTGATTCAAACATATTCTTATACAGTAGTCTACAGCTTAGCGGATAAATAAGGGTATTCTATGTGTGCCTCTTTCAGTTTTCATTCATCACCTACACAATCTGTTTAATAGAACACACTAGGATATAGATTTTACTATGGAACACGAAGTAGAAGGTAAATTCCATTTCCTGGATATTGGAATCAGACGAACATCAAATGACAAATTACAAAGGTACGCTCACCGCAAAAATACCTAGAGTGGAATTCATCTCAATCACTACAGTTTCTGTCCAATGAATTACTAAAAGAGTATCATACGAACCCTTTTTGATAGCGCACGCAACATTCGCTCAAAGGAATGCTAGATGAAGAAATTATTCTCATCACAAATTGCTCACGTGGAAATGTATATCCGGCGGATTTCATTCAGAAATATGCAAAATCCACCCCTCAGGTAAAATAGGATAGAGTGGAAAAGAAAATCTGCTCCTTATATTTACGCTTCAAAGGAGACAGAATCACTGGAATAATTAATCACAAAGTAAATTCCGCGTTGAAAGTGACCTAGCCAGCAGCAAAATTAACGACGGTATGGGAAATGGACTGCTCATTCAAACAAACTAAAATCAACAGGTACTCTTTTCTCAGTAGTTCCAACCGCATTTACCAGTTTACATGTACGTGTCAAAGCACATGCATTGGAAGAACCGAGAGAAGAGTACATGTTCGCATTTGCAAGCATGTTCCAAAGAAATTGAGACCGCGAGCGACAAAGGCTGTTTACAGTGCAAATGCTCGGCATTTACTTGACACCGGGCATACCATTGACATTCCCCCATGTTTTTACAATTATTAGAAGACAATGAAATACTGTTTCTCTCCGTTTCGCTGAAGCGATCGCGATAAAAACACTCAAACCTGATCCATGTATTCAAAAAGAGACAATAATAAACCTATTACTACCCTGATAATTCCATTTTTCTAATCATCAGTTTTATTTTGTTAATGTTTAGTTTGTGCTATATTTCTCTCCCATTAACGAATTCCTAAACCACCCCTTCCCTCATACATTTCCACTCACTTGATTCTCTTCAATTATGTGAACTCTCTGAATTTTATTCAATTATTACGTAACACGTCTTATCAGATTTTAATTCTATGAATCTTATGTAAATCCTGCATTACCTCTAAAATTATCACACAATTTATCTTATCTGTCTTTGAACTCCACTCAACTATTACATCACCCATCCTTAATTTTTCCTTGATTCTAACACCAAATAACCTCTGACCTGTTCTTGCATATATACATCATTATTATTGATAACTTTTGTCAGTCCAATTCTTTACATTCACTTATATCAATTGTTCCATACTATTTCTTATCTCAATGTAAAATTCTAATACATATCTGGTTGTAAGCAGCTGATGAGAAACCACGAAATATAATGAATTCATATTATTCTGCATCAATGTTTGTTCTAAAATCCTCCACGTTCACCAACTGTAGATACAGAACGATTCCGATGAGTAGTATTTTCCGTTTGTGAATCACTACGTTTACTTCTCGATTTACTATTTTCAGTTTCAAGTGAATTTCTACTATCAGAATCACTATCAGAATTGAGTCTTATTTTGAGATGCTTAGCACTTTCACTGTCTGATCCTAATCCCATACTTTTACGTTTATAATATACATCACCATTGATATCGAAATTGTCAACGGAAAATCTTTTCGAATAACTCCTTCGTTTTCCACCTCTTCTCAAATTGGAATATTGGAATGTGCGTCTTCCATACTTGTCAATTGAACCCTTCACCTTGAATCTGGATGAACGTGTTGACATACTATCATATTCCCCTCGTCCATGTCTATTGAAATTACCTTTAGCATTTGCTTCTCCCTCTTCTTTAAATGCATATCTTCGATTTGAATTTCCTGAAAACCACGACAATTCGAATTCACCACCAACTGAGCCCTTTTTCTTTTCACCATTCGTGTTACCATTGCGTACTCTCCAACTGTTGTTTGTTGTTGTAGACCTGGAATCATTACTATGGAAAATGTTTGATTGGTCGTTTATATCTTGGTTTAGTATAATAGGTAAGAAAATGAAGGATATCAATATGATTATCTTCATTCTTGTATTTTCTCATATAAATTATCCTGCTACAACAAGTCGCTCATTAAATTTTGATTCCTTCCAATTATATACTTGTTGACTGGAATTGCAATTTTATGTAATGTTCGCAATTCAATTTCATGAGATTGCACTTGAGTAATCGATCGTTTGTTATGTTTCAACTTAATGGTAAGGGTGAATTGTTGTTAGATAAACGACGCAATGCTTTGTGAAAAATCTCTCCTTAAATAGAGACTAGAAATGAGATTGAGAAAATGTATACTATTTGCTACTTCCTAAACACTTTTTGATAGATACATCCATTGAGATTTTAGTAAGTACACAGACCTACTCACTGATGTGGCTAGTTCTCATTTACGCTAATGATTGATAAATTATTCTGTGAACAAGCAAGTGCTGAATAACTCCATTTGCTGTTGAAGACTATGAATGTGTGGTTTGAATGTTAGAATAAGAAAATTTTCTTCATTTTTGAAAATTTCGATCAATTTATTTACAGTTATGTTTTTTTCGAATATGTAATGTAGTAGTTGACGACGTATATGTTGCTACTTTGTGTTCTGTTATACTATGATTATCTGTTACTGCCTCATTTTGTGTTTGTTGAAATATTTTTATTGTAAATTTCTATTTCATCTTCTCTTCACACACAATTTAATATTTTTACTTTACATAAGTTCACTTTTGTTTTGTAACATTCTTCTGATTTCGTATTTTATATCAGTTGACTAATAGTATTTTAGTATATGGAAATGTTTACTCAAGGAATAACAAATTTATCCCTGCTCTTTTTCCCTAGATTCTTATTTGATATACCATAGTCTTTGTGTAGATCAACATAGAAATATTTTGTACTTGGTTTGATAAAACAAATTGAGTATTCTGTATCAATTTTCTATGGTTCTAAAGCTAATCTTGCTAATATAAATGTTTCTTGTTGTCTGTAATTTCTAGTTTTTATTCTGTTGATAACCCCGCCTGTAGCTCTTATAGGGTTGCTGCCGGTCCCAAGCCCGGGTAAAGGAGGAGGGTTGGGCATGGGGTTAGCGTCCCCATCCCGTAGAAAACTAACTCGCTAAAAAAACGCTTACCAGAAAAAATAATCCAAACCATTTTAACTCTGCCCTGGGAGTTAGAAGGTCTTCATTTAGAAGAATTATGACGCTTCATGGTGAAAGCCGAGTTCCTTCGGAAGCCACGAGGCCGATGCCCCTTCTAACAACCAGAGCAAAAATTTTTATAGGTACATGGAACGTTCGAACAATGTGGGAAACCGGGAAGACCAGTCAAATATCAATGGAAATGAGGAGATACAACTTAGCAGTACTGGGAATCAGCGAAACCCACTGGACCCAAGCTGGACAGAAAAGGCTAGCTACGGGAGAGATGCTGCTATACTCCGGTCACGAAGAGGACAATGCTCCACACACTCAGGGAGTCGCTCTTATGCTGTCCAAAGTAGCACGAAATGCACTTGTAGGATGGGAATCTCACGGATCCAGAATCATCAAAGCATCATTCAAAACAAAGAAGGAGGGGATCTTAATGAATATTATCCAATGTTATGCACCCACCAATGATAGCAACGACGACATTAAAGATCAGTTCTACGAGCGGCTGCAGTCAATCATTGAGAAATGCCCAAGGAAGGACCTAACTATTCTGATGGGAGATCTAAATGCCAAAGTCGGAATAGACAACACTGGATATGAAGATATCATGGGACGACATGGACTGGGACAGAGAAACGAAAATGGAGAAAGATTTGCAAATCTATGTGCATTCAACAAATTGGTCATAGGAGGCACAATATTTCCACACAAGCGTATACACAAGGCTACATGGATCTCACCGGACCACACTACAGAGAACCAAATAGATCATATTTGCATCAACAAAAAATTCCGAAGGACAATGGAAGATGTGAGAACCAGGAGAGGTGCTGACGTAGCTTCAGATCACCACCTAGTTGTAGACAATTTAAAACTGAAGCTAAAAAAGAACTGGACAAGTGGACAAACAGCAATACAAAGGTTCAATACAGCCTTCCTTCGAGATACTGACAAACTCAATGAATTCAAGATAGCTCTCAACAACAGGTTCCAAGCCTTACAAGATCTACTGAAAGAAGAAGAAACTACTATGGAGGACAACTGGAAAGGCATCAAGGAAGCATTAACTTCAACGTGTCAAGAGGTTCTCGGTCTAAAGAAATACCATCATAAGGAATGGATCTCTACAGAAACACTGGACAAGATCAAAGAAAGGAAGAACAAGAAGGCAGCAATAAACAACAGCCGAACACGAGCAGAGAAAGTCCAAGCACAAGCTGAATACATAGAAGCAAACAAACAAGTGAAGAGGAGCATTAGAGCCGACAAGAAGAAATACGTGGAAGAACTAGCAACGACGGCAGAAAAAGCTGCTAGAGAAGGAAATATGAAACAGCTTTACGATACAACGAAGAAACTATCAGGGAAATACAGTAAACCAGAGAGGCCGGTCAAAGACAAAGAAGGCAAGCCAATCACCGAAATTCAACAACAGCGTAACAGATGGGTAGAATACTTCGAGGAACTCCTGAATAGGCCGGCTCCAATGAATCCACCGGACATCGAAGCAGCACACATAGATCTTCCTATAGATGTCAATCCACCAACTACGGAAGAAATTAGAATGGCCGTCAGACAAATCAAGAACGGGAAAGCAGCAGGACCCGACAACATACCAGCTGAAGCACTGAAATCAGACATCGAAGCAACCACAAGCATGCTTTATCTTCTATTCAAAAAGATTTGGGAGGAGGAACAAGTGCCGATGGACTGGAAAGAAGGACACCTCGTCAAGATTCCAAAGAAAGGAGATCTGAGCAAATGTGAAAACTACAGAGGCATACACTACTGTCAATACCAGGGAAAGTCTTCAACAGATTGTTGCTGAACCGGATGAAGGATGCAGTAGACGCCCAACTTCGAGATCAACAAGCTGGATTCCGTAAGGATCGGTCGTGCACAGACCAAATTGCAACACTACGGATCATCGTCGAACAATCAGTTGAGTGGAACTCATCACTATACATCAACTTCATTGATTATGAAAAGGCATTCGACAGTGTAGATAGGAGGACGTTATGGAAACTTCTTCGACACTACGGAGTTCCTGAGAAGATTGTCAATATTATCCGGAACTCATACGACGGACTACAGTGCAAAGTAGTGCATGGAGGACAGCTGACAGATGCATTCCAAGTAAGGACCGGAGTCAGACAAGGCTGTTTACTCTCTCCCTTCCTCTTTCTTCTGGTGGTCGACTGGATTATGAAGACCTCGACATCTGAAGGAAAACACGGAATACAATGGACAGCTCAGAATCAATTAGACGATTTGGACTTCGCAGATGACCTAGCCCTCCTATCACGTACACACGAACAGATGCAGATGAAGACAGCCAGTGTAGCAGCAGTCTCTGCATCAGTAGGCCTCAGCATACACAAAGGGAAAACTAAGGTCCTCAAATTCAAAGCGGAGAACAGCAATCCAATCACTCTTGATGGCGGAACTCTGGAAGATGTAGAATCCTTCACATACCTGGGAAGCATCATCGATGAACAAGGAGGTTCAGATGCAGACGTAAAGGCGAGGATTGGCAAAGCAAGGGTCGCATTCCTACAATTGAAGAACATATGGAACTCAAAACAACTGTCTGTCAACCAATATCAAAGTGAGAATCTTCAGTACGAACGTCAAGCCAGTTCTACTGTACAGAGCTGAAACTTGGAGAACTACAACAACCACCATCAAGAAGGTACAAGTATTTATAAATAGCTGTCTACGCAAGATACTCAACATCCATTGGCCGGATACCATCAGCAATAGCCTTCTGTGGGAGAGAACAAACCAACTAGATGGTGGTTGGAGGTAGTCAACAGGAAACCCTGGACCCGGGTTTCGTGCTACTTGGCACTCGTCAGCAAGGTGTACCTGTAATCTTGAGGGAACTGGTGCTCCCTGGCGGATTCGATCTCGTGTCACCCAGCTTCACAGTCAGAGACGTTACCACTGAGCTATCCGAGTCGTGACTAACCTTCTGTAGGACTGAGATGTAATCGCAATTGATTGATCACTGGGTGGTGATCAATCTCATGCTTGTCTAGTCCTTATTAGTGCCGATCGAATGCTATCGATCATGTTGCAATGTGGCCACCAGTCTAGGTGACTCGACACTGCGGGCACTATGTATTGAGATTAGATGGTGGTTGGAGGTAGTCAACAGGAAACCCTGGACCCGGGTTTCGTGCTACTTGGCACTCGTCAGCAAGGTGTACCTGTAATCTTGAGGGAGTCACCTAGACTGGTGGCCACATTGCAACATGATCGATAGCATTCGATCGGCACTAATAAGGACTAGACAAGCATGAGATTGATCACCACCCAGTGATCAATCAATTGCGATTACATCTCAGTCCTACAGAAGGTCAGTCACGACTCGGATAGCTCAGTGGTAACGTCTCTGACTGTGAAGCTGGGTGACACGAGATCGAATCCGCCAGGGAGCACCAGTTCCCTCAAGATTACAGGTACACCTTGCTGACGAGTGCCAAGTAGCACGAAACCCGGGTCCAGGGTTTCCTGTTGACTACCTCCAACCACCATCTAATCTCAATACATAGTGCCCGCAGTGTCGAGTCACCTAGACTGGTGGCCACATTGCAACATGATCGATAGCATTCGATCGCACTAATAAGGACTAATAGTGATCAATCAATTGCGAGAACAAACCAACTTCCAGCTGAAGAAGAAATTAGGAAAAGACGATGGAAATGGATAGGACATGCATTACGCAAATAGTCAAACTGCATCACGAGGCAAGCCCTAACTAGGAACCCTGAAGGAAGCGAAAAAGAGGAAGGCCAAAGAACACATTGCGTCGGATAATAGAAGCAGATATGAAAACGATGAATTACAACTGGACGGAGCTAGAAAGGATTGCCCAGGACA